GGACGAGGCACGATAAGACGGGATCCAGAGATCCGAGGGCGTGGAATGCCAAGTAGTAGTACTTGAGAGAGGCCCGATAACACTGCCGCGCGCGCGCTGCTGGCTAACGTGCATGCTGACGTTAAAACCCGGAGACGGCTTATGTCGAAGCCGCATATAAGCTGACGGGACATAAGCCAGACGCGCCGCGCCGTCCCGGGGAACCGAAGGAATCAGAGCGAGCCGCATAATACATGTGCGTAAAGGATGTTCTTGCCGGCGCAGATAAGATTTCCCGAACGGCGAACGAATCCTCGCAATACAGCATCCGATACGCCATCGGCGACGCGCGCGAACGTCGCGCGAGGAATGCCAGTGAAGGTGAAGGAGCGCGTTTGCGAACAGATTCTCAGAAAGGTTCCCGCTCCGTCATTCGTATTCCAGCCATCTGTACGCAGATTTTCGGGGCCTCTTTCGAAGTTGACGTACTTACGCCGTGACTAACGCACGCGCGCGCGCGAGAAAGAGAAAGAGAAAGAACATAGAGAGAACCGAGCTGGCATCTCAATTTCGACGACCTCGAACAAATTTTATTTAGTCTTCGCTGAAAACTCTGAGGCTACTCGCGGATAAAGCCCTTGTATTTCGAGCAACAATCTCTCCTACGTTATTTTATATCTGTAGGTCATCGTTCTTATTCCGCATGCAAAGAAATTTCTTAACACGCGATGAAAAAAAATTAGCTTATAATTCAAATAAGAGCAATAAATTCTACTACATTTTTTATTTCTGTGACCCAAATTATCAAAATACCTTCTGAACAATTTCGTTAAAGTGACATGTTTAGCAATTAATAATAACCGAGTTTATTTCTTAATTTCTAAATTCAATGAATATGCTATTGAAATTAAATGAATTCACTGAAAATGTGTGACGTAAGACTTTAATAATACTTATTTCTATTAACGCTAGCAAATATAGCGCAAAGATGCAGATAGCAAACGTTCGCTTTGATCGAATTGGCATATCAAACTCGGTTAATTTTACAGCAAAAACATTCCATATCGATGTCTGTTTGATGTTTGTTCAGCAGCCGAGCTCAGATTTCTCGGTGGGTCTCACAACCAAACCATTTACACTGTGAATGATGAAAACCAAACTCGGAGACTAGAGCTAATTCCGAACGCTCGTTAATCAAGATAGCATACGTTAAATTTTTATAACGTACGAAAAATGTACGAACATGATGAAATTAAAGTGCAGATAAAAATATGAATAAAATATTTAACAAATTTTTACTCTTGAAATTTATTTCATGTCTAAATGAATTTATCTATAATTTCAGTAGCGTATATTCAGCATCGAATTTACGAAATATTAAATTTATGTGTAAATATTGATTATTAAAAGAATCACAATGCTATGCTAATTAGACTTTAGTTAAATTATGCTAATCTCGTTTTCCGATCTTCCTTCGTTGTAGTAAAAGATTGAAAGAAAAAAACATTTGTGTTGCGTCCGAGTGTTGTTTATGAATTCGTATTCACCTATATTCGAGAGCTGCAGTTGATTATTCTTTCACGAAGCATATAGAGGCATAGAGGCAGGGCTATACGGCTATAAGGTTTCGTGATAGCGCAAGACAAAAATAGCATGTGCTCTGATCGATCGTTGCACTTATCAGTTGGCACAGAACACTGTTTAGAAAGAAGCCGTTAACCCGTCACCTACATTCAGTTTATTATGCATGGCATACAAGCGTCGCTGCACCTTATCAGTCTTCCGTCCGCGTCTTCTGCCTGTCTGCCTGTGTCTGCCGTTCACTAATCCAAGAAAACTCAAAACTTCCAGGACTTTTAATATCGCATATATGTTATACCATAACGATAAAAAAAAGTGTCTTTCCTATATATTTTGCAATAAATATACACACATAAGATTGATTCACAGAATAGATTCGATTGAAAATATTCTTCAAATCTCGAAGTTTTTATATTTTACATTTTATAATTTACATTTTTAAAGAAAATAAAGCAATTAGATAATTAAGAACAAAGTAACTTTCCAATATTGTAATACTCTAAAATTTATATATTTTTTACAAAGATAACGACTTTCTAATATTTATTGTACTATGTATTAAAAATATTTACATCATATATTATGTATGTACTTCCATGTTGGAAAAAATTAAACTAATAAAGATTTTAGATTTAGCTATTGATAAAGAAACTCAATTAAAACAGGTTTCGTACTCCTACAAACTATTTATGTCTCTGTTAGTATGTAAATATTTTCGGGGAAGATCCCAATCATTCCGTCAGAATTATCCGAAGAATTTCCGTCTTGGTTGAGATTTCCTTTGAAACTTTTAGGTTTTATAGCCGCCTTTGTAGCATACAATCTCTCTCTAGATACACTCCAGAAATGGAAAATAAAAAGATCGAAAAGGTGGTAAAGGGAGGATTGACGATGGTAAAAGAAGGCAAAAAGAGAGCCTCTACTATGTTAACTTGATAAAATACTTGAGACAATTCACAAATATTGACTATTCTAACTTGTCGTGGATGCGTTAATTCAATGTATTTTCTGGATCTTTATATTCAGTGTGAATCATGCCTAAGTCGAGAGCGCTCGGGAGAAAAAGAGATATTAATCGCGTTTCGTGCCAGTCTAGTTGGAAATTTCTAACAGTGGAAAGCGCGATACCCTACCGTGGACAGAAACCGCGAGAGAAACAAGAGGAAGCTACCCTGTGCGTTCCTGTGTACTCTTTTTGTTTTCCTTATTCATTCTCAAGGCGGTCATTAACGGCCATCTACCTGCTCTACCAACTCGGGATTTCCTCGTCCTTTTCCGCCGCGGCGAAATGAGCTCTACGCACTCTATTACCATGTACACTATATTTCTGATAGTTCGCCCCATCAGACCATCGCGTAAACTTTCTCGCGAACAGATCAACGAAAAAACAATAAGATCAAAAGCAAAGAGCCTGAAAATCGAAACTCAGATAAGAACCTAACCGAATCGAAAGATCATTAGAGTGTGAGATTAAATTGCTGAATAATTTCTAAAGTGAATATTTTCTTTCGAATATCGCGATAGAATCTGAACGTAACAGGGCTACAGATATAATGTAAGTATACCAAGTAACAAAAAAATGTATTACAAGTCGCATCAGTTAAATAAAACACGTTATAGTTTTAAATATTCAGTAATTAATATTATTAACGCTAATTTTTGGTAACAAATTTTTAATAATGTTATTATTATTAATTAACACTTTCTACATTCTTTAAGAAAAAAACATAAAACTTGCATTTTCGTCTATCAGATGTTTCTTCCCTATATCATATTTTTACATTCTCCTCTATGAAGTGTTTATTATACAACACCAACAACCTACAGTTACTAATGTCCGATATTGCATTTCAGGAAAAGAAGTCACGGTTCGGGAGAGATCACCCCGAGAGCGATGGCATCAACACATTTCTTTAACGAGGATAATTTCGGGGTGGCGCGACATCGCGATCTACCGCGTCTGCGTTTCGCTCTGATTCTACTCGGGTGCAATTTCGCGTGGGTACACATGCATACAAAAAAACTCACACACACACACACACACATGTGCGTGAACGCGAAGGTGAATTTTTGCGCCTCTCTCCGTGAGAAGAAACACTCGCACGGTAAGACACTGATATATCTTGTTGGGGCGCCGACGATCCCCGTACGTTGGATACGAGATCCACCCGTGTACATTCGAGTGCGTACACGGACGGGGCACGGATGGGGCACGCATGGATGACTGGGAACCCATTCCATCCCGACGCGTGAGGACGATCTTGATCGGCGACGTGAGATCACACGAGGAGGAACGGAGAACACCCGCGAACGACCTCGATTCGCGTAAATCGCTTCCCTCGATCCCGCGGGAAGAATTCTTTTTGAACGAGGGACTCGGTATATATCCTCTATTAGATCCTATTACATGTGAGTCCCATCGCTTCCTGTGTAATTACCGAGTTATTATTGCGCATACAAAGTTCGCAGGCTGTTGCAGAATGAAATTTTTTGCACGTTTATTTTAATCGCTTATTTTTCTGGATGTTTAATTAGCACTTGAAACATTAGGTTTCTCAGACATATGGATTTTTCAATCATTGTACATTTAAATTTGTTCGATATTCGAGTCTGCAAAGATTTCTTGGTGTTCTTTGTGTCTTAGATTATTTGAAGCGTTTAAAATCTTCCAATCAAGAATAGCTAAATGAATTCTAGCTAGTGGTCAGTTTTCTATTTTATTTTTTAATGAATAGTTCAAATCCGAATAAACAAATTCACAGATAATTATAAATAATAAAATTATAAATAAAATTTTTAATTACGTATTAAAAAAAAACAATCGCGCGGCATTCTCCGTAAATAATTAATAAACAGTTAATATCTATATATAAAATATAAATGGAGAGACCTTGATCCTGCAATTTGCAATCTCTGAACTACACGACACAAGTGTGAACCGGTCTTTAAATGGTTTCGTAACGTCGTGTTGGGCCCAGAGGTCATCACAACAGAGCGACGACGCGGCGACGAGGCGTTATTGCGCGCCGATCATTCTGAATCGGTTAACTGCCGTTGAACGCGCAGAGAATATCGTCTTCTTACCACGTTAATTAATTGCGAATCTCGACTTGCCCATACGAAGTCGCGCAGTCCCCATTAGAGCTTAAAAATAATTGAACTAGATTCCAACGTGTCAAGGCTGGCGGTATCGGCCTCGTATCGGTCCTTTTCATGTCGTTCATTAGTCACCGGGCCGCTGGTTCCGCGATAAACCCGTCAACAGCCAGAATCATTTCTGAGCCTTATTAAAGCCTTTTTACTGCACGATTTCGAGATATCAAAATGTCGAGGTATTAGCTCACGATGATAACAGAGAAAGCGATAATTCTAATTCTAATTTTAGTGATAATTTTCGAGACACAAATATCGAAAGAAGGAAACGATTATGAGCGACTTACCGATGGCCCTGGTACGAGGTTTTGACGAGCTTCACCGCGAAAAGGAACTGTATGGCGCAGACCAGCAGGCAACAGAGATTGAGGGACAGGGCGAGGGCGCACAGCGCCAGGGTAACCTCGTACACGATCACAAACTCCTCCGGGCTGATAAGACTGTTGGACGTGACCGTGAGCGGCGAGATCTTCAACAAGAAGATTACCGAGAGCAGAGCTAGAAGTAGGGATACCAGACAGAGCAATCCGAGGCTCGTCAACATCTCCTTCACGCCAGCCTCGTCACTCCGATGGAGATTTCTGGACAGGGATGAAGACCAGGAAGCGTTGAGGGGTATGACCGTCGGCCCACTGGCCACTTGGCCAGCCACGACAGGAAGCGCAGTTGTAGCAGGCGCGGGTGACGGCGTGGTCTGGCTCGGCAATCGCGACAACCTGGAAATGTCGAAGCCGCCATTCGCCTTCGGCCTGTCCTGATGCAGGACGCTCGTCTGCGAGATCACGGTATGGCCCAACTGACTCGCTGAGACGTTATGATTGTTATTATTGTTGTTACCGCCACCGTTGTTGCCATTGACGCCGCCAACCGGGCTAACGCTATTGACCGAGTGCTTGGAGGTCGATAGAGTTGACACGTTAAGCGCGTGCGAATGATTCAGGCGTTGCGACAGGTTGTTTACGCTCAGCTGAGAATGGTTCAGCGGATGCCGGTGCGTCGACGAGGGAGTCGTCGCCGATTGGTGCACGTTTGACACCGCCGTCGGTCTCGCCACGGAATCGTACACGTCGACTCCGCCGTTGTTACCGCGATGCCCGGGAACGCCGCCGCGTGTCCCAGCGCTTCCGGTGTAGTGGTGATGATGATGATGTTGCTGCTGCTGCTGTGACTGTTGTTGCTGCGGCTGTGGCTGTTGCTGCTGCTGCTGATCCTGATGCAGCGAACTGTTGTGCAAGTGATGATGGACGTGCCCGCCGTGCAACGAGCCCGAGCTCGTCTGATAATCATTGTGATGATGCCTCGAGCCCGTTGACGACGGCTGCCCCGTCAGAATGTGCTTCAGCATTACTCGACACGCTGGTGTCACGCGGAGTGAGGCTTCTTCTCTTTTCTTCTGATACGGTGATCCTCACATGGCGACCTCGTGACGAAAGAGAATACTAAATTGCACCGAATCCACCGTGTCATAGCACGTAGATGTTAACTTTGACCTTCCTCAGACTAGACTCGTCATATCAGAGGACGTCACTTCTTTCTTCATCACGTTGAACGTTTTATAAAACTAATTGTCAAGCTTCACACATAACGCATAGCACATAACACACAACACATTAAGTTCAATTCTCTTCAATCTAGATTCTTCGCGTTGAATGTCACTTCTCTCTTCACACTACATGAATGTTCCACACGCAATTAAATTTCTCTCTAAACTTCCGAGCTACACTACGTCCATCGCGAATTAATATCCAATTTATCAATTTCGAAAGTTTCAAGTTTATAATTTTATCTTTGTCACTCTAAAATCCTCGTAATAAAATAAATTGCTCCTTAAATTTATCGGACCTTTTCTATCGTAATTCCTACGTGAATATGTAAAGGCACGTTGTTTGCCGGTTTTCAAGTTGGAGATATCTCTCGTTCGTTCCTCGACCGCACGTAGTTCCTTAAAGCTAGAAGGAATATGCGTAAACCAAGGCTTATTTGAGCGCTACGTTCCCGGACTCAGCGAGTTGCTGCACACCAGTTGCTTCACCATGGCGACGGCCTCCACCAGACGGCGGCGGCGACTCTCTCACATATCGGGTTCACAGCGTGGAACTATGCGACGACAACGGGCAGCGGAACGGGTTCGCTAAGGGCATGATCGGGTCGATCTGCGAGGGACCTCTTTCCTTCGTCTTCTTCTTTTTCTTTATCAACGACGATGCGATCGGTCAATCAGTACGTTAAGGCGGCTGCAAGCTCGGTTTTCTACCACCGTCTTCTCGTCGGGTACGCACGAGCTCGTCAGCCGGCATGGCTTCCGAGATGGTGCCGGCGGTGCCTCTGGAACAGGTCGGAGAAAATAATTAATGGACTGACTGTTCACTCTCCGCTGTCGGCCGGAATAGTCTGACCGTAAAAAGGATAGATACGGGGTATAATCTATCCGGCGCGGCGCGGCAACGAAGAAAACGGCCTTCTCTCTTCCCCTCTCGGTATATCGGAGGCTTCGCGCAAGCCGAAATATGCGGTTGGTCAAATGGTCAGTCAAATACGCGGTCAGTCAAACAGGACGGAATTTAAAGAATTTCATATAGCCTCGATGAGGAAGTAAATACTACGGTTATACTCAGCCGAAGCCAGATTAAAGGTATCGACTGAATACTGAATGGAAATTGTAAAAAGGATATTGTTATATATTACAGAGAGGCAAGAAGTAAAGTAGGTGACACTGCATCTCTCTCAAATACGAATGAGAAGAGAATAGCTTCGTTTCAACGGATCGCAGACCGCTTGCATCGTGACGGAACGCTTTAAAGCGCGACCGTTTCTACTAACACAGAATGTAACGTGAAAAGATTCTGGAATCAAAATTATCATCGCGGTTTTTGCGTTTCTCAATCAAAGCGTAAAAGCTCTTCGGCACTTAATGCTCATTTTGTAATTCCAACTTTGTTTCAACTTCTTCGCGATTTTGAACAATCAGCTCTTTCATTATTTCTGGAGCATTTTTGGTGATATATAGTTAGAGATATTTACATGTTCAAAATCCTTTCTATTGCTGAAAAAAAGTTTGTTACGTTCAAAGTTTTGCATGTTTCGTATGATAGATCTCAAACAAAAACCGTGTGTCGATTTATATTGTCGGGGATCAGGAGCCCCGAGAGGCCGAGGACACGAGCGGCGTAATTAGAAAGATCGCACGATGGTACGCGTAACACTTAGCGGGCAGACGATGACCTTTAACGGCTCGCACACGGCTGCACGCGCTCACGGAAAAGTCGCGTTGCGATGTGGTATGCGGTTTGCGAGGCATATATATCTGATTGCGACGCGAAGAATCCGAAGACAAATTGCCCGCAATCGCGCGAGATAAGCGAGTCGCGAGGGAAAACCGATTGATCTAGCGGTGTCTGGTGATTCTCGTGGGACAATTGCGTCGATACTTCATTTATCGTGTGCTCGCGTTATTATCACTTTCTATACGACCGTACACAGCCTCTTCGGAGGGAAAAGGGTGGGAGAAGGGGGGAGGAGCTCGTTGTTCATACATTTCCTCTCACTCGGCACGAGCGGGTCACGCGAGCTCGTCTCTTTGCTTACCTAACGGCATGCATATATAGAGTCATTTAGAATGTAATTGCGATTAGAAATTCTCTCGTGTATTTTGAGAGATAATTCTCTTAATGTCGGAATTGTAGAATGTCGGAACCACGCAGAAATAATTTTTTAATTATTGCATATTGAAGGCAATTAAATATTTAACAAATAATTTTGGATCTATTTTGAATAATTTCTCTTGATTTAAACTAATGTTCACAACTCAAGAGTTTTATATTATTAAAATTTTAATTTAAAATTTAATCGTCACATTTCGTTAATATATAATAACTGTAGTTTTTTCTTCACGAATATCGATATGTTCGGATATGTGTTAAGTAAACAAAGAAAAAAAGAATATTAACGTGAAAGAAAAAAAGACTTTATTGTCATGTCAATCCATTTCATGCAACACAATGATTAAATGGTCGGTATGTATACTTTATTGAACATGCCATTACCGAGAACCATGAAGAGACTCATTCCGGATCGATGAACTCGATTGTAACTCGGAACCGCAACGCCTACTACGTGTCGCATAAAAAACATGTTTACGGGGCGATTTTTATTTCCACCTTGCTCGTAAAAATAAAAAATATTTTCGTATTCCTCAGGTCACGCCTCTCCGAGACGAATAATTTCGAAATATCTAGAGAATAGAAGAGAATTACTTTCCGAAACGCGAATATGAAGGACACGATCGATTTGTTTGCTTCCCGCATCTTTTCGCGATACCGTTACTTGCTTCCGTTTACAATTTTCTTTTTCGCGATGTCAGAACTGCGTCGCGTTTCGGTCATTCGCGTCGAAAGATCGACGCTATTTTCCGATCGAGAAGTTTACGCGCTCCAACTACGTGTATTACGAAAACCGCTTTTGAAGATATGTATTTATTCGATATTGTCTTATTTTACGAGACTTGGTAAAATTCGTAGAAAGAACTCGAGTCGGCATACGCCATCAGCACAAATCCAGGTCGCTGCCGAAGAATATGTAAATAATAAACCAAGTCCAGAATCATTATCGCAACTTAAAGCACGGATGTGTAAAATAACGCGATCGAATTCCTCGTGTTCGTTTAAACATTTTTTTTACTTTTAACATAAGTCATTTTTACGAAGTAACAAAATTATAAAAAATATATAGTTACTTTTCGTCAAACTTTCCATTGCCCTCTATGTTGCATTATCTTCGGACAATCTACTTGGAAGCTTTCTTTCACTTTGTTCTAACTCAAGTATACATGACAATTAGTCGTTTTACTCTCTTTCATTGTGCTCATTGTCCGACACAGAATGTAAAAGGCCAAGCGTACGTTATCCTAGTTGTAAAAGAAACAGCCCTGTCCGTACGTATAAAATCAGCGTTATTCGTCGTCCGTGAACCAATTACGCGTTAAAATGTGATCCTACGTGCACCTCGTCGTCACGGTATCCTGAGTCCTTATCGAAGGCAATCTTCGTGGCGTAACATGATTCGATCCCGCAAATTCCTCCCCTCTCTTTCTCTTATATCCTTTGCCGCCGCACGATACACGCCGGATCCCGGATCGCGTGCTGCGATCCAGAACCGCAAGATCGGCTATCGTGGGCCGCGGGCACCTCTCTCTCTCTCTCTCTCTCTTTCTTTCTTTCTCTTACTTTCGCTCTCTCTCTCTCTCTCTCTCTCTCTCTCTCTCTCTCTCTCTCTCTCTCTCTCTCTTTCTCTTTCTCTTTCCGTTGTCAATAGTCAGGCTTGACTCATAGAAACGGGTTCCGCTCGCATTCCGGACGTCCAGCCTGCCGTTCACGGCAGAAAGCGCATCGCCGTCGCATCGATAACTGTGCACGTGATGAGCAGGATTCCGGTAAAACATGCTCACAAAAAACACGCGCGTAATGTCGAATTTTGACAAAATAACGGTCTGCAGGATCACAGAAAACGATTTCGTATTTTTGATATTTGAGTTTAGACTCTTACCCCTTTCAAATTCCGTTAAAGTCCATTTTTACACGTTGCTACTTTTACGCTCTTAAAATTGATCTATCTCCTAGCTCTTTATTCTTAACGCAATAAGCTAAATTTCTAAGAATCCTCTTAGTACTCTTTTAAATATAGAAAAAGCCATGTATGAACGACGACTTCCGAAAAGTAAACGTTGACTCATTTCTTTTAGCCAAGACTACTATCGCAACATTATAATAATTTAATTGTTTTTTCCGCGACTCTTATCTTTTATTTTTATTACATGACTTCTTCATCAAGAGCGTATCTATCATTATTCTTAGGTCGAGAGCTGCAATGGTTGTTATACATTATTCGATGTGCTCATTTGCTTGGTAAATTGATTACTTATCCATCGCCAAAGCATTAATCGATGGACACATCGAGATAATCGGTAAAGACATTCGTCGTTCGTGATTGTACAAAGTAGAAACGACGTACGGACTCCAGCTGCGCGGCGCGGATCGCTAGACTAATACGAGATGTATTTAAGTTCTCTGACTCGTGCGTCGCGTGTTTATTTGCGGTCGCGTGATTTGCATGGAAACAGAGAGAAGCGCGGTTTGAGGAAGTCGCTTATTAGCGGCAACCAGGGTATTATCGACACGATGCCATTGACATCATTAATCGTCATTCCCATCGTTTCGCTCGGGTAGCGAACATTTCTAAAACCGGAATGGACATTCGCGTCGCATTGATTACTAGCTTGCAAGTTCCTGTATTGATTATAGACGCCTTTCAACTTTCAACGTTGAATCAATCTCCGGGCAATCTAACATCAAATTTCTATCAAACTCCGTCTTACATAAAACAAACATTTCAGTAAAACCTTAGCAGAAACATCCGGCAATAAAAAAAAGTGTAACCAATGTTGGTAAAGAGTTGAACCACTTAGAGACCAAACCGATTAACTTCATTTTTAATTTTTTAATTTTGGTATCAGAATCATACGTGATTAATTTATAATTCCATCTTTGTCTACTTTGTATTTTATGGAGTTGACATTTTATTTTCTGGAAGGCTCAACTGGAAGAATCAATTCCGTAAAAAAATATTTATATAAAAGCATAAAAATATATCTTTACAACACAGAATGTGTTTCCTAGAAAATTAGGAATTAATTAAATTAATTTAGTATTTTGTCAGTGTTTCACTTGCAGACCTCGCGAGATATTGTTTCAGCGCTCGCGGCGCGGTCAGCGAAATTATGGGATTACGTGCGCGTGTGAGGTTTCCTCGGGTACGACCGAAGTCCTATGCGCACCGTTCTTATCCAATTTCACGACTTCGTCGTCTTCCATCGCGGTCGCGGCTTCGTTTTCCTCCTTTTTATTTCCCGTCGGCGTTCGCGGCCGACGACCGGCGACCGGCGACCGGCTCTCCTGGCAGTATCGCATCCGGCGATCGATATTTACGAGATAAATAGATCCCTCAAAGGGATCCCTTTAAGGAAATAGGAATACGCGTGTATTTCTATTTCACTTAATGTACAATCGAATTATGACGCCATTTTAATTGCACCGCGTCGCAATTTATTTAACGCTTGCAGATTATTTTCAAACTTCCGTCATCAATTAGTTTATAACCGACAATCTCGATATTTGTTCGAATTTTTAGGTAAATATTCATAATGTTGCTCTCGCTTTAACTCGCGAGGATCGAACGCACATTCATTAGCGTTTGCAAATTTCCCAAATTACTTTATCTATGTTCTCAATAAAATTAACGATGTTTCTTTACGATTGATGGTATATTTTTGT